TTTCGGCTTCCAAGCACTGGTCCAGCCCAGCAAGCTCTGCTCCTTCCTGTCCTTGCAAGTGCTGGGGCCCATGCCTCAGCCTGAGATGAGCAGGGAGGTCCCCAAACCCCCACACCCCACCTGGCTGTGTCCAGGGAGCCACTCGCCAGTTACAGTCAGGGGTTAGGAGGGCCATGAGATAGCCCAGCCCAAAGGAATGAACAGTGTCCAGCTTAGAACCTCCTAGAAGCCAGAAGGGCCCTCAGAGGCCACTAATACAAGAGTCCCACTCATCTCCCAGAGAGGGGCAGGCATGCACCTCGGGTCACGCTCAGTACCTGAGTCGTAGCAGTTTCCTCTCTCCCAGCCCAGCTTGTCCCTTTGCCCACCACTCCCAGCAGGGCCTCTTTCTGGCTTCTGTGGCTTTAGAACAGCAGGCCCAAGGAGAATCATTGGGGACACGGACTAGCTCACGGGTCAGTAGCATGAGCTATCCATGTGGGCATGAGCTCTTCAGCAATGGTGGAGCCTAAATTAAAGCTAGTAAGAGCTTGCCAAAGGTGTTGCAAAGAGGACACGGAAGACAGGAGGAAATTAGAGGGCCCTTTACAGGTCCGGGACTTCATTTGTGGGTCTTGTAGATATGTGGCGGGTCAGTGCGCAGGTGTGGGCCAGACAGTAGAGGCCCTGATTTTCACTCTCACACCCACTCCAGGAGGCCTACTTCAAGAAGCACAAGTTCAACACAGTTCCAAGTGTCCAGCTCAGGAACGTGGACAGGTGAGGGCTGGTGACAGGGCAAGGGGGAGGATATCTGGGAGACTTGATGACCAGTCCCTGACAGTCCCTTTCAATCCTGGGACCTGTGTGTTTATCCCAGCCCTGCTGCCCCCAATTCCCATGTGATTTCTGCCCTGCCCAGTACTAGCCATAGGACCGGAGGGGCTGCCACCTGACCTATTTCTCCCTCCTCCTCAGTCTGAAGAAAGAAGCTTATGAAGTGGAAATTCACAGGCTGCTCAGGTATGGCATAGGGTAATTGGGATGTGTAGGAGGGAGCGAGGAGTCAAATACTGGGGGTCTTGGCCCCATAATTTGCAGAGCCCAGTGCAAAATGAAAATCAGGGCCCCTCATTCAAAAATTATTAAGAATTTCAAGATGGTAACAGAGCATTAAACCAAGCACAGAGCCCCATGTGATACACCCATGAAGTGGACCTTCTTTTAGCCTTACTTCCCAACCCCCACTGCAGTGAGGCCAAGGTCCTGGACCACAGCAAGAACCCTTGTGAAGACTCTTTCCTGCCAGACACGGAAGGCCACACCTATGTGGCCTTTATCCGAATGGAGAAAGATGATGACTTCACCACCTGGACCCAACTTGCGAAGGTGCTTCAACATCACGCCCACCCCGGGAGTACCCATTCTCCTACACCTACACTGCCCCAAGATACGGGGAGCCTTTGTTCGGGAATCTTCAACCTCAGAACCGGCTCTTTATACTCTCAGAACTCCTATTCTACCCTTTTGTCCAAATCCATATTCCAGAGATGCTACCTCTTGCAAATTGAGGTGGCTGCTGAGAAGGGGTGGGGGGCTAGGGCTGTGCCACAGGGTCCTCAGTGGCCCCTCCCCACAGCTCTCTGACCCATGTCTCTCCTCCTACCCCATCCCCGCCAGTGCCTCCATATCTGGGATCTGGATGTGCGTGGCAACCACCGGGGCCTGTGGAGATTGTTTCGGAAGAAGAACCACTTTCTGGTGGTGGGGGTCCCAGCCTCCCCATACTCGTGAGTGACCTCTTTTTGCCCTGGGAAATGGGGGCCTAGGGGATTTGGAGGACATAGCTCATGACCTCTTTATTATATGTTCTTGTATTATCTTCCTAGAGTGAAGAAGCCACCATTAGTCACCCCAATTTTCCTGGAGCCACCCCCAAAGGAGGAGGGAGCCCTAGGGGCTGCAGAACAGACATGAGACCTCCAGGATTCTGCAGGGCTGGGTACTGTGTACCCCCAGGCAGGCTAGCCTTTCACCCCATACTGTAGAATTTTGTAGATGCTGATAGGGGCTCGGGCTGGTTTGTTTTTAACATGAGACTTAATTACTAACTCCAAGGGGAGAGTTCCCCTGCTCCAACACCCCTCTTCCTGAATTGGAGGTCTATTTATTTACTTCCTTGTTGGAGAAGGGCAGGAGAGTACCTGGGAATCATTGGGATCCCTTGGTCAGCTGATCCTGTCCTTTGTACACACCCTCATCCCAGGCCTGGCTCAGAATCTAACCTATTTATTGACTGTCCTGAGGGCCTTGGAAACAGGCCAAACCTGGAGGGCCTTGATTCCTTTCTGGGCTGGGGTAGTGCCCTGAGGGTAGTGCTGGCTCTTACTCAGGAAAATGCTGTGCCCAACCCATGGATAGGCCTACTTGGGGCCCACGTGCTGACACAGACTTACTCAGAGACTCTTAGACACTGGACCAGGACTTTTCTCAGCCTCTTCTTTGTCCAGATTTCCAAAGCTGGATAAGGTGGTCATTGATTAAAAAAGGAGAAAATCTCTGCAGATGTGTCTTGTGATTGTGATTATGTATGTGTGTGTGTTTGAGAGAGGTAGGGGAGAGAATAATCATGATGGATGTGACTTCTCTTTACTGTCCTCTACAGGGTTTACCTTCTTTTTTTTTTTTTTTTTTTTTTAAAGATGACCGGTAAGGGGATCTCAACCCTTGGCTTGGTGTTGTCAGCACCGCATTCTACCGAGTGAGCCACAGGCCGGCCTACAGGGTTTACCTTCTTTTTTTTTTTTTTTTTAAAGATGACCGGAAAGGGGATCTCAACCCTTGGCTTGGTGTTGTCAGCACCGCATTCTACCGAGTGAGCCACAGGCCGGCCTACAGGGTTTACCTTCTTTTTTTTTTTTTTTTTAAAGATGACCGGAAAGGGGATCTCAACCCTTGGCTTGGTGTTGTCAGCACCACGCTCAGCCAGTGAGCAAACCGGCCATCCCTATATAGGATCCGAACCCGTGGCCTTGGTGTTATCAGCACCGCATTCTACCGAGTGAGCCACAGGCCGGCCTACAGGGTTTACCTTCTGTTTAGGGCCATTTGGCCACCAGGGGATGCCCAAGTCTCAATCTCCAAGGTTTTTCCCCAGGCTCCATCCTAGGATAGCCTAACTTTAGCCCTGCCCTACTTGGGGCTGAGCTTGGAGCAGCCACCTCACACCCCTTTCCTACTGTTTAACTACCAGGCTGTTTCCTGCCTAGCTTGCCTGGGTCAGTCACCTGTTCCCCAGAGGTGGAACAGGAGAGAACAAAAAGGGAAACTTGGGGGTTGGAGAAGTTAATGGGAGAGCAGGTGAGCATAGTGGGTGTGGGAAGGAAGAGGATGAGAGAACTAGGCGGGCATCATTCAGGAGGCTAGGGCTGAGCTGCAGATGGAGGTGGAGGAGCAAGGATGTCTGTGACCTTTAGGGCACTTTGTGTGAAGAATTCCATATCTGGGCATTTTGCGGGAGAAAAGGGTTATGGATGTCTTCAGATTCTCACATAGCCAGTGACCCATAGATGTAAGTTAGATAGTCAGGAGAGAGTAAGAACCTAAAGCAGGGGTCATGATAGTTAAGGGATCTGTGAAGGACTTAGGATCAGGAGGATGAGCATAGACCACCTTTTGAGAAGGGGTCTTTCCTGACTCTGTATAAGTGTAGAGCCTTGGCCAGGGAGGGCAGCAACTTACTGGAACTCCCACCTTTCTGCCTGCTCTCTGCCCCTGCCTCCCCTACCAGTGCCTGGAGCCCAGCGTGGCGATGGCACTAGTGGTGTATGGCTTGGACGTTTCTAGCCACCCTGACGCCTTCAGTGTTTGCTGGAGCTAGAAGTTGTGCTTGAGGCGACACAACAGCCAGGTACAGGAACAAATCACCCGTAATGATGTAGAGGCCCGCCCTGGGCAAACAAATCCTTTGCAGCCTCCACACAGGCAGCTGCGGGAGGGGTAGCGTGTGAGAGGCACAGTATGGTGACAAAGGGGTGAGGTGGGCTAATTCCTCTCCCTGCCCAGCACCCCAGCAGGCTCCTGCTCTGGGCCTCACAGACTATCTGTCAGGCACTGTGTGGCTCTGGCCAGGTTGCTGCTCCTTTATGGACTCAGCAAGGGGTGGTAGTTCTGGGCTGCCCTGGAAAAGCCCGTGAAGACGGATACAGGGATCACAGGGAAGTGAGGAGGGGTCTGGTTTGTCAGGCTGGCCTTTGCTTGGTAGCAGACACTGTGTCCTCCTGCTATAGCCTCCCTCCTTTATGCTGTTACTCCTGCTACAACAGTGATCAGATCCGTGAAGGACCTTCTGGCCAGTTTCCCCTTCAAATGGAACTATCACCAGGACCACACCAGGCTCTGGGGTCAGACAGTCTGGGCCCGAACCCAGGCTAAGCTCTTCACTGAAGGCTGGGACTGGAGCAAGTTGCTTGGCCTTTCTAAGCCCCAGTGTCCTCACCTGGAGCATGAGAATGGTTAAGACTAAGAGATTAGGTCTGTAGAGCACTGGGTATGCCAACACCAAAGAAGAAATGAAGCTCTTTCTGAGATGCCCAAAACAGGACAGGTGAAGGGCTTTGCCTGAGTTGGAAGGGTAGGTGGCCGGCTCCTGAGGCTTCCCAGAGCCTGAAGAGTGACCCTTTCCCATTGCCCTGGTAATAATTCTGGTCTCCCCTCCCCAGCTTGTGCTTAACCTTGTTATTTTCATAGCTTTCCAGTCCAGTGCCCCCACCCAGGAGGGGGCAGTTTCAGGCCAAAGTCCTCCCACCTTATGAGAAGGCAGACTGGGCCGGCACTCACTTCTTCAGTGCCCTCTTGGCCATCCCTCCAGGCCTGGAATGCAAATAAAGGGAAGAATCAACCACCCCACCCCTCTTCTGCTGTCTTTCCAAAGGCCTGAGTAGCTAGCCCCATGGGAATCTGAGACCAGTTCAGGCAAGATGGGCCCCTCTCCCCAAGAATACACAAAGGGTCCAAATAGAAACATTTTAACTGGATTTGGTTTATGAGTTCTGATGTCCCTTCTATACATCTGCCTGCCTGCTCTGCTGATTTCGCATATGCCCAGGCTATAAGGTGCCTTTCTGTCATCACCCAGTGGAGTACTGGGATCACCATGAGCCCCTCTTGGCCTAAGAGGGTGTCAAGCGTTTAAGGAAAAGACGGGGGGAATGGGGGAATGGGCAGGAGAACTGGCTACCTTAGAGGCTCTGGAATAGGTGGGCCCCAACCCCACCAATGGAAGGAAAATCAGGCATATCCTAAAAGGGGTGGTCCCCATTTAGCTCCAGGTCTGGAGCAGCAAGGGCAGGCCCACTCCATCCTGAGTGATTCTATTAGATCCTGTCCCCACCCTGATCACTGCCATGTGGCAGTGCCAGGGTGCCTCCTCCCTTTTCCTGTGTGATGGCTGCAGTGGTGGAGGCAGAAGCAGACTTATTTCAGATTGTTGTACAGGTACATGGATACAATCATGGCAGCCAGCTGGTGGGGGAGGAACAGGAAGAGATGAGGGGACATGATTAGGATCCTGAAGCATTTGTCCCCTGCCCTCCAGACACCCTACATAAATCTCTGTTAGAAGTCTGTCTCCTCCAGAGAGGCCTCAGATGAGTCAAGCAGCCCTGGTCTGGAGGCAATATTCCAGCCCCAGCCTCCTCATCCGCTTACCTCCAGGACTGCAATTCCAGCTGCCACACCACCCACAGCGGCTGCATTGGTTCGGATGTCATACAGAAGCTGTTTGAAGCAACCCTTGGGGCAGGGGAGAGAACATTTATTGTTGGCCGGCCCCACCCCCATCCCTGTTTGCCACTCTGAGGCCATTAAAGCAGTCCCCACCCTTCCCATGTCGGCGCACACCTGTACATCACTGTTCTGAGCCTTGTCCGCGGAGCAGGATTCCGTGGTTGTGCCATTGTCGCCGCAACAGTATGGAGGAAACGCTCCGTCCTGCTCTGTGTAGTAGGGTGAGTCTACAAAATCCGTGTAGTTGTTGAAGCCACAGCACTTGAGCTAGAGACAAGGTGGGAAGGGTGGGAAGGGTGGTAAGTAGAGCCTTGCTTCTTTCTCTCCATCCCCAAATCTCCCCCAGCCCACCTTACCCCTTCCATGGTGAGATTCCACACTTGGGTGAAGTCCTTCTGAGAACCATAGTCTTTCTTGATGGCAGGCACTACCAGCGTCGTCAGGAAATTCTCAGCCTGTGTGAAGCAGGCCAGCGATTAGGGGCTGGCAGAGAAGGTGGCCATTCACAGGCCACAGATCACTTCCAGGGCTTTGCCCAATCTTCCTCCCTTGCCCCATCCCAGTGTCTCACCACTGTTGTATACACCAAGGCAACCACAGCAGCTGCAACCTCAGCAATGAAGATGATGAGGAGGATGGAGAAGAACTGAGTAGATAACAGGGGTCTGGGTTTTAGAGAGAGACAGACCCTCCTACCCTCCTTGCCCTAACCACCCCCTGTAAAAACGAGGTAGGGGACTCCTATGCTGAGGCTCCTGGAGTACAAAACAGGGTTTGGGGATCTCCAGGGCCTGGTGTCAAGGGTGAGGGGACCCCTGGTCATGGGTCTGTGGAGCTGGGTCTGACACACCATCATAAGGGCACACTTGTTCTCAGCATGAGCACCGTAGCAGCCCAGGAAACCAAGAGCAAAGAGCACAGCGCCAGCCGCGATGAGGAAGTAGCCCACGTTGACAAACTGCATGACACTGGACGACAGCGACCCGAAGATCTTCAGGAAGGATGATCCATCAATCGACACCCAGATGCCCACTGCCAATAGGGCCACACCACACAGCTGGGGACAGAGAGATCAGGCAAGCCTTGTAACAATGCTGACAAGTGGCTCATTGCCACACAGTTGAGTCAGGAGAATGGGAGCCAAAAACTTCCCCCTTCATTAGCTAGGGAGTCTAAAAACTCATCCTGTAGGGAAGGAAACATCCTCTAGAGCCAGAAAGATGGGAGTTGGGATGCCCATAGCCAACACCAGGCTGCACACCTGAGCAGATATATATGAGATCAGGGATTCTAGAAATATCTACAGGGTAGGGAGAGGGGCAAGACTTTCCCTCAGTGCTGCCAGGGTCCTGCAACATATCTGGGAGTGAAAACAGGCAGCTGAGTGAAAACACTCAGTTTCCCATTTCCTCTCTGGGTTATGGATGTCTAGAACTCCTCTGCCCTCAGATAGGTGGAAATAGGGAGTGGTAGCAATGAGCAGGCTCAACAGTCACCATAGTAACAGAGGTGGGGCTGAAGTTTACACCTGCTCCCAACCTTGCAGAGGGTGGAGGTTGAGAAGGTTCACCCACCTGAGGCTCCATTTGGCTCCCCTCCAGGATCAGACTCCAGGCCTGCCCCTCATCCAGCCTAGAGCTCCTTGCGTCACAAGTGGAAACTGAGACACCGGAAGGGGAATACAGCCAGAGTTTCTCTTAAAGTCTCTCTGGCTCAACCCTAAACCTCAGAGGGAATCCCAAGACCCAGATCAGGAGGGCCCTGCCCAGTTCCCAAAGCTCTCAGAGCAAAGCCTTGCTGACCTAAGGCTTCAGTGGAGGATCAGCCTGACACCACCTTGATGCCCACTACCCACTTTCCAGCTATAGAAACTGAGGCTAGAATCAGGAGTGAGATGGTAGATTATGGCTGGATCACAGGCATGTTTGCTCAAGGACAGAAAGCTGGGTTTCTAGCCCGCAGGATCAAATTTCAAGGAGCTTGAGGTTTGCCCTACCCTGCTCTGCCCAGCCTGGTAAGGCCTGAGCACAGAGGCCAGAAACCAAACCGGATTTGCCTTTAACTCCTTCACACCAGAGCCTCTACTCTTCAAATCCCTGGAATCCTATTGCCTCCTCCAGATACATGGATAAAAGCTAGTTCCCTGCAGCTAAAGGAAGCCCAAGGCACAGACCACATCAGTCAGAGGAGTCAGAGTCAGAGGGTTTACCCACCCCCAGCCCAATTTCTTCAACCTTGTCTACACTTCATGTCTCTACTTCCTTATCTTTTACTCACTCTAGGCCATGCTAATATGGTTCCTGGGTCTCTGGTAAAATCTTGTGCTAAATCCAGTGGACATTTCACAGACCATGTATCCTTCTTGACCTCTCTGATATCTCGCTGTCCTTGTTTTCCGCCCACCTCTCCGCCTGCTCCTTCTCCACCTCCTTCATAGTGGCTATTTCTTTGCTTATCCCTAATAAGTTGGGTTTTCCAGATTCACATTCCCCAAGTGCTCTCACCCACTCCCATGGCTTCAGTGACCACCTATGCACACATGACTTTCAAATATCCACAGCCAGCTTCAGTCTGAGCTGCACCTTCACTGGGTACACAGCTGACTGTGGGACATCCTCCTCCTGCCGCCCGCATTGCTCATGCCACAGATATCGGCATCATCACCAAGACCCTTGTCTCCCTTGCCCCTTCTTCCACCCCTCAGCCACCATCCTAGGGCTTAGACCTTTGATAGCTTCTCCCTATCTTAACCACCATCTCCAGGGTTTACGCCTTGTTGCTCTGCCTCTTAAACTTGCCCTACATAATCTGTTCCTGGTTTTCTGAACAATACCTGATTTCATTACTTCTGGGCCTTTACGCAAGCTTTACAATTCCCCCACCTAGTACAATACCCAGCTTCAGCTATTTCCTCCAAGAAGTCTTTTCCTACTAGGCTGAGTTCAAGTCCCTCCAATGGGCTCCCATAGCCCCTGTGCTAAGCCCAGATATACTACATTGGGATTGTCTGCCTATCTGGCTTACTGGACCTGAGCTCCTTGAGGGCAGAGAACAGCCTTGCTTATCTGCCACCCCAGCATCCAGCATGCAGTCTTAGGCAATGAATGTTTGTTGATTGAATAAGGGCTGTTTGAGACAGACCCTTCACTCTGACAAGACATGGGCCCTCTCCTTTTTCAGCTCTCATCATACAGAGGCCGCTGTATATTCTTCCATTTTAAGTGAATTTAGGTAAATCCTTTCCCCTCTCTGAGCCCTCAATGCTATAAAAAGGAGAGAATCACTCCTGCTAGCTTAATCTGCCCTCCCCTAAGCCTGGACAGAAGCTTCCTGGAAGGGAGGGGATGCCCTAACTTTTCCAGACTCTTCTTCACACACGCCCTGTATGGCAGCCCAGCTGTGACTGGGACCATGTATCAGCCTTTGGGGAGACCTCTGCATCCTACTCATAAGGGGAAGTTTGCAGCACAGAGTCTGGGCACAGTAGTCTCCCATTCCCCAGCTTGGGCTCTGCTCAGGTTGTTACCTACTCCTGTAGAGAGCCCCAAAGAGGCCACAACCTTCATACTTACAAAGATGAGCAAATTGAAGAGGAACATCATGGTCTTAATGAAACTGAAACACTGCATGGTGGCTCCTGGGAGGCAGACATAAGTGAGTTAGAACCTTGTCCCTTGTCCTCCTTCCCCCAGCCCCCTGACTTGTGCTGGCCCTGGTTTCTGGACCCTGACATCTAGCTTCTGGCAAACTGGACTCATATTTCACCAAACTTTCTCTGCACCTGGACTCTGACACCTTAGTTCCCATGTGACCCCCTACCCTGCTATACTACCCAGGCCCTCTATCAGCACCTGACACTCTGAGATCCTAACACCCCAGGTTCCTCGACTGGCACCCCAAGCCTGACTCCCACACTACACGTCACTTCATGCCCTTCCCTGGCAACTATATGTCCTGGGCCTCTCCCCAAACTAACCCCAGACCTTTCCAGGACCCTCCCCATAGCCCTTTCAGTGCCCCAAACCTGTTTCCAGGTTGATATCACTTCATAGTATAATCTCTATCCTATGCCATCACCTGTTCAGGGTCCTAGGCAGAGAGTTCTGAAAGATGGATGTGCTGAAGCTCCAGAAGGGACAGGAAAGCTCCAGGAAGCTGCCACTGAGTGGGCAGGCAGAGAGACGAGCTGGCTCACACACCACTGCTCACCTGCAGGTGGGGCAGGTGCTTTAAAGGCCTCCTTCTGCCAGCCCACTGGCCCCACCCTTGCCCAGTGAGCTTCCTCTTGCCCCTGCTGCCCCCTGCTGCCTGAAGATCGGTCCCCACAACCACAACCACAGCAGGCCTCCACCTGGCAACGCCACAGGCAACGCCTCTCCTGATCTTGAGAAGGGTGAGCTGTTTGGGGGTGGGCTCGTGGCCCCTCAGAACTTCCGTGTGCCATCCACTACAATAGTGCACGTACGCTTCTTACCCTGCATCTGCTAGTACACTCATTGTCCCCTATGTGCTCACGGGCGTACACATCTGCCCAAGCTGCCGTCTGTATGTTCACACACCAAACACACAGTTACATACATAAACACCTACTAGTGTTCTGGAATGCACACACACATGGAACTCTCAACATCTGAGTAACATCTGAGATACATACCTAAAGTCTCTCTCTCTCTCTCTCTCTCTCTCTCACACACACACACACACACACACACACACACACACTTTCAAGGAAGTGACCAAGGTCTGGCAGCTTCTGCTCTCTTCTCTGAGTAGCAAGTGGTTCCTAGTCTTCCCTCCAAAAAACCTCAAATTCCCCTTCTTTCTCCTCTCTTCGTCTTTCCTCTTCTCTTTTCTCCCTCCTCACCTTTTTCTCTTTCTTTTTCCCTCTCCAGTCTTAGTACTCTGTGTACACCACTTCCCTTTCTGCCAGCAGGTGACACCATGGTCCCATGAAGGAATCACCCTCAGTTCTAAGGCTCTGTAATCCTCATCTTCATTAATCCTCCCAGGGCTGCCTGTCCCACTTCCCACTCCAACCCTTCTGATGTAGAAATGCTGGGAAAGTCCCGGCTTTCACGTCACTCAGACCAGGTGTTCAAATCTTGGTTCTGTTACTTATTAGCTATGTGACCCTGGGGGCATTTCTTAGACTTGGTTTTAAGACTCTGTTTCCTGGTCTATATAACAGAATGGTTATGGGGTTTTAAAATGAGATTTTCTTCCTGCTCTGGGTCATAAGGGAATGAGCAGAGTAAGAAGGTCAGAGCAGGGAGAGCCACAGCCGGATGGGTTGTGGAATGGAGGAAGTGGATTTTTAAATTTGTTTTGTTTTCATAGTGGGAGGAGGCAGCTGAAGAGACAGGAGAGAAGGGCTAACAATATTACAGACTGTACTAATAATACAGACCATACTTTGAATGCATTACATAGATTGATTTTTTTTTCCTCTTCACAACAATCCTATGAGATAGAGTTTCCTTTTAACCCCATTTTAAATATGGGGAAATGGAGGCACAGATTAAGTACATGGAAAGATTAAGTACTTTCCATGATCACATAGTTCATAAGTGGCAGAGTCAGGATTCAACTCCAGTCAGTCTGGCTCCAAAGTTTGCTTCTTAAAAACCAAGCAGACTGTCTGTATTGATGAAGTTTCATGGAGGCAGGGCCAGCTTCCATAAAGAGCAGGGGAGGAGACCTTTGTTTGGGACCTGAAGAAAAGGAGGGGTACGGACAACTAGGTTTGTAGGTATAGTGGCTAGAGGCTCATGGGCGCAAGGTCATATTCTAAGACTGAGGATGGCGAGAGTAGAGGGTGGAGCAGGGGTGGGGGGGCTAGGCCTGTGCTGGTGGTGCTGAGGGCCCCACAGTCTCCTAGCAGGATCCTGTAGGGGTAGACAAAAGGAAGCTGGGAAGGGGGCCTTGGAAGAGGGGAATAAGAAAGAAAAGGAGAGGGTGCTGAGGGGTGGAAGGAGAAGGGGCAAGTCCAAAGTCCCACCACTCAGTGCAAGGCCAGGCAGAGCCACTGACTCTCCCATCTCCTACAAGAAAGCGGATGAACCCAGAGTTAGCACCTCTGACATCCCCAGGGGATCTAGCTGTTCCTCCACCTGTACTGACTGTCCATGTGGCTTTCTTTTTCATCTCAAAAAGAATTGGGATCAAGGCACATTCATCATTGTCCTTGGTACCCAGCACATATGAAGTTGTTAGTGAACATTTCCTGATGAATGAATGAATGAATGAGTACAGAATAGCAAGAGTTAAATGCTCTGGGCTTTGGATCTTGGCCATCATAGATTTGAACCCCTGTCTGCCTCTAATTGTGTGACTTCACCTCACAGCCTCAGTTTCCTTATACAGTTGATCGTCATTACTCATAGATTCCATATATGTAAATTTACCTACTCACTAAAATTTATTTGTATCCCCAAAACCAATACGTGTAGCACTTCTGCAGTCATTTATGGACATGAACAGAGAGGTGAAAAATTTGAGTTGCCCAGCACACTTGTCTCCAGCGGAGGTCTGTTGAACAAGGAGACTCTCTGCCTTCCTGTTTCAGCTCGTATAAACAAATGTTCTTTTGGCAGTCTATTTAGTGCCACTTTTTTTTTTTTACATTTTTTGTGTTTTTTGTTGGTGATTTCGCTGTCTAAAATGGTTCCCAGTTGTGGTGCTATCTAGTGTTCCTAAGCACAAGAAGGCTAGGATGTGCCCTACAGAGGAAATGTGTGTTAGATAAACTTCATTCAGGCACAAGTTCTGTTGGCCATGAGTTCAATGTTAGTGACTCAACAATATATATTAAATAAGATGCCTCCACACATAAAGCCAGGTTATATTTTCATCAGTTGACAAAAATGTTGTGACCAGAGGGTGGCAGCAACCTAACCTCATATTTCTTCAAGGAGCAATGGCTCAGTATTGGCTAATTCAGTGTTTGTGGTGACTTTATAGAACAAAACTATCGGGAATAATGAGAATTGAGTGTATATAAACAGGGATAATGATAAAATCTCCTTTTAGGGTTGTTGTGAGGCTAAATGAAATAATGTTTGTAAAGTGCTCAGCACAGTGTCTGGCACATAGTAAGTGCTCAATAAACATTTTTAATATTGTAAGCATGGATGAGTGAAAAAGTGAAGGAGTGATTTCCTTCTACTCGTAGACTTCCTTTTCCCAAGGGGCTAACCTGAGGTTGTCTGGCTCTTAGTCTGGCTTTTAGGCTGGGCCCAATGGAGAGGATTGTGAGGGAGACTGACCCATGGGGAGGGGGTAGGAGACGGGACTTGTAATAAAGAGTACCACCCTATGACAGATTCCGTATGTCATAGAGGCCTTAGCTACCCTGGCCAGCAGCACCCCTCAGGCACACTACAGAAGCTCCCTGTGCCCATGGGGCCCTCTCAGTTTGTTCATGCCCCTCGGCACCGGGGCATGAGGTCCCCCTACCGGAGGGCAGGTATGGGCTGGCCCCGACCCCGGTTTCCCAGGATGTTCAAGTGTAGCAGCAGAAGGTACCGGCAGAAACCTCAAGGCCCAGCTGCCACCAGTGCAGCCACCAGTCTTGCCACTCAGGTCATGAATATCAACAACAACCACACTGCCACCACCAGTGTGTGGATCCTCCCACCTCAAGGTTAGCCAGGGGGTGGTTTGAGAAGCAGGGCCACTGAAATTTTCCCCAACTGGTCCTGCTTAAGCACTCTAAGAGACAAACTCTGTGAAATACCACCTCCAAAGATATGGTGGGGTCTTGATGTCAGGCATCCCAAAATGCTGAGAGCCTCAATGGAGGATGGATTGGCTAGAAGCAGAGGGCTTGGGGAGGTGGGTGAATCCAAGGGCCAGTGGAGCTTCCACAACTGCTGCCTTCCTCACACCCCTTCCCTCTCCTTCTTCTCCTCAGTTCTGAGACACTTCTTTCAGCCTGGGAGCTTTCTGATCCTCTAGAAATGCCCAGAAGCTTGGCTTGCTCTGAACCTGCATCTCCTAGGAGCCATGGGCAATAAACAATGAACAAATAAAGTCATTCTGCTCAAGCTATTCCACAGTGAGGTGTTTCCAGCTGACTGTGCAGGGTGTGAGGGCAGGGCTGAGGCTGAATTCTCCCAGGGACAAGCTTCAGTGACAGCAGCAGGGATCACAGTTGCACAGTGGTAGGACAGGAAAAGGTCAGCAACACACACCATCTTTGACCTCAGCTTCTGAGCTGTCCCATGAGGTAGGGGGCTTTCCTGCCTTTCACTTCCATCTGCACAGGAAAAAGGGTCTCCACAGACATCTTGGAAGTTATAGGGAGGCATAGATTAGAGAGGGATAAGACAAAAACCAAAACCCCATGAGTGCTTGAGTATGAGGTGTATGTGCCTCTGTGTACCTGTGATGGTCAGTGTGTAGGTGTAGCTGCTGGTGTGTGTGTGTGTGTGTGTGAGATCAGGAGAATGAGAGTATAAGCAGATATGTGGCTGAATGTGCCTTTGTGATCGAATGTGCCTCTATGGCTGGCTATGAGTGTCAAGGAGTGTTATGAGGATACAGGTATGACAGGACACTGGCTCTGCTAAGAAGAATGAAGGTCAGGAAGGGGATGAGGAGCAGCCTAAAGGAGGAGAGGGTGGAGAAGGGTTAGCTTCTGAGGACGGCATACCACTTCCAGCCCCTTAGCCATTCTCTGAGGTCAATGTTTTCCAGGACTGGCAGCTGAGCTGGGTGCTTGGAGGTGGGGCAAGACTGTTTGAGCCCAGAAACGGGGGGGGGGGGGGGG